CCAAAAAAAAAAAAGTTTTCAACCATACTGTAAATCGTACAAAACAGTTGCAAAATGAGCAAAAATATACCGTAAGTTACAAAAAAACCATACCAATGTCGTAGAATGCCAAAATCAAACGAAAAAAGACGAAATTGTAAAGAAATGAACTTGAAGACTAGATTATTCGCCAAATCATATTCTGTCCCATTTGCTCAACCCTCATGACCACGTAGATTTCATAATGAAAACACTTTTTTTTTGCAAAACTTTTTTTTATTCGCACGCGCGCATCAATTTTGGGGTTCCCGGAGGATGTCATCCATATAATCAAATCAACATGGCCTAATTCTTTCCGCGGAGTTCTCATATTGTCATCTTTCTAGTTTGAACGGTTGAGGGATTTCAAAATGGAGGACACCTGCAGTTAGCGCTAAAATTACGTGGGAAAATGCGCATAAATGTAAAATCGATAAGGAAATTGAAAGTAATAGGAGAACGTAGTCACGCCAGCGACCACGCCGGCGACAGTGCCGCTCCCAGGCCTTTCCTCTGAGAGGCCAGTGGGGAAATTGGCGAACCGTCCCACGCGCTTTCTTTTGATAATGTGATAGAATCAGAACAAGGGAGCGAGGCTCGTGCTCAGGCGTTTGGCCACACGTCAGATGCTTCTAGAGTTTCTGAATATTGATTACTTAGGCACTGGGTGCTTTTAATTTAGAGGGTCATTTTCCAAGTTTCAATGGCATCAAAGTCACCGGGCGTTCCTCTAAGTATCTCTCTCTGTGCCTCTCCTTAAACACTGGACTTTTGACTTACCGTCCCAACCGAGAGGCTAAATCCTACCAGTTGCGTATTGATCAGAACACAGCAGACCAGTCCTCGATTCGACGTTATCCAAAACACGAGATAGAAAAAGGTTCTGCTGCAGTACCTTCGGAAGGCGTCAGGGTGTACAAAATCTAATTATTTCTTCGACAGGCCAACACCTAACCACGTACAAAATTTCATGACAATCCATCCATAGGTTCTTGGGTTATGCTGCTAATTACAATAGGCAAAAGCTTCCAAAAGCATTCTTCTAGGTAACGGTAATCGCTCATGTCAATTTAAGGGTTACGTGAGTTTTAAAGAGAATCATAAACAGAGTAACCCGGAGGTAGAATGGGGTGGATTCCATGCTACTACACCACACAAACAAATGGCGACATGAATGCTGACAAGGCCAGTCATCTCGCTGCTGTAACAGGGCTCTACAGATCAGATGTAACAAGGCTTTTAAGTGCAGCTGAGGGTCGGGTTGCTGCTAATGTGTACGTGCGGTACATGTGGACGGCTCACGCGGGCTCACGCGGGCTCACGTGGAAATGTCGTTCTTTGACCAAAAGGCTGAATCAGTTCCGGACGCAGGTGTTTGGCTCTGGCTTGTTTTGCACAGACGGGCACTCGCACCGTTAAGTGGCGAGGCCGCTGAGGAGTCATGAGAAACTGACGCGCGTTAAAAAATGAAAACCTGCCAATTTTTTTCATCGATCTAAATAACCAATGAGGTGACGTAGAGCAAAAAATGACAACAGATGCACAAGCAACGACAGACTCAAAAGTTTGTGATGTCAATAACCTTGCTTCAGGTTTTTGTTTTTGTCCCCAGTGATCATAAACAAGTATCACATGAGTGCGGCATCACTGACTGTGTGCTGTTGGTGTTATCTCTCCCCCTCTCTCCCGCCCTCATTCTCTCTCTCTCTCTCTCTCTCTCTCTCCCTCTCTCTCTCGGAGAGATCTTTTTCCTCCTAGCCCCAGTCTTTCTGCCACGCACAGGGCTCCCACCCACAGGCTATTAAGATAATCACGCACAGCAAATATGAATAATTAATAACCCATATCACAGGCCGCCATCTTTGTGTTACTTCGAGCAAGGCTCACGCAGCTGTTTTGTAGGGAAAGCAAAGGTTTCGTCATTGGGTTTTCCCAATTGAATTATTGACGGGAAAACACGACGAGGCCAGATCGAGAAAGGTACGTAGAAGGTTTAGTCTGCACCTTCGCCCTTCCCCGCCTGCCGATGATATATGGTTTGTAAATGAAGAGGTCTGTGTACGTCAGCACTGGTCGTTTTACGGGCTGAAAATTGGATCGTATGATATCGGAGGGTTACTACAGTACGCCAGAGCCA